ATATATATATATACACATATATACACACACATTTTCTTTTTAAGTGGGGCTGTAATTCATAAGCTTTGTAACATGTAAACGTCAATAGTTTTAAGAGAGTTGTTTACATACAACAGTGCAGTCTGTTGAAAATGCATCATTTGTAGGCACTGTTCTCCTCCCCTTCTGGTCCCAGAATCCATTAGTCAAATGTATTTAACACCTTAAATGTTAATTGTACAATTCAAGATGTAAAAATGACACTTCAGTTTCTAAAACTACATTGAACACGTAAAAATAACTCCCTAAAGCTTCAGTCAGAAGCCTTAATGAGGATGCTAAATAACGATTGGAACTTTCGTGAATACCGTGTTTTCAAACGAAAAACAAGGAGAGGTAAATTAACAACTGGAAAGAGCAAATAACGTTTCTCTTTGTGAATTGACCCCAATGTATATTTTTCTCCTTACAGCGGAGAAACTACAGCAGAGGGTTCTAAAGCTAGCGATAGACCTCAATTATACCAGCCTGGAAAAAAATACTGGAAAGTGCTGTTGAATTCAGTTGATCTGGGTCATGCACAGTCCATTTCTAACAATATCTGTACTGAAGTGAATTAAGCAAGTTTAACAGGTTCCGTCTGCTTCTGTATAAACATGATCTAAACTGATTCTCATGTTATTGTGGCTTAACATTGCAGTGAAACAAACTTTAATGTAAGAGGTGCGAAACGTATGACAAAAATAAGTGACACAGTTTTATTTGAAAAACATGCTTCAAAGGGCAATTATTTACAAAGATAAACAAGCATCTGTCATGGTATAGCTATGCAGGGAAACTATGCTAAACTGTTGAAAGATAATTTCTCATTGGTTGATAGGAATTACTGTGACACATTCTTTAATTTAGTAACATAGCTTAAAAAGCAAAGTGAAAAAATGTCACCCCCTCAGGAACATGTGTGACCTCGCCCTAAGGTAATTCTTTAGTATAGTAGAGAATGGGATTACAGTTTATACAAAGCAAATGAGGGCTGAAGAACACACTATATTGATCAAAACAGATCACTTTTTTGTAAAAGGCGGTGTGGCCCCACATAGTGTATTTGCAAATGTATGCATTTAATGAAATATTGAAATGAAGTCCCATTCTCTGGATACATGAATACTGGGAAACTCCTTGGTATCTTACTGAGTCATTTGTACCATAACAGCTTGCCAAGCCTTTTCTTTATCAAAGTCCCTCATGGTGTTGCTGCAAACCTGCAAGGAAAAACAAGTACAAAAATTTAATAAATAATTAAATTTTTTTTTTTATTAATAAAAAAAAATCCCAAGAAATCTAAGAATTTGAAAAAGTGTTGGATTGCAATCAATCAGCTTAAGATCATACAAGCCCATTGGCAGGTAACCAATTGTGGGTCCCCCATCCTTAAATTATCTTCCATGTGTGCTCCTCTATTCGCATACTCCAGTAACACAGGAATTCACAAGTTTTCATCTCTATAAACCTTCTTACAGCATAGATTTATAATTTCCTTTATATACTTAAACTCCAAAAGACTAAGTTAATTAATCATCTGTCTCCCTTCCTTATACCCAACAGAAAGTAAGATCATCTTACCTATATAAGATACACTAGCAAAGTGTCATGGCTTTCTGACCAGAAGAGAAAAAATACTGACCACCAGTATGTTAGGAGAGAAATAGAAGTGTTAACAGAGGTGCCATGTAACAATGAGATTGCCTGCACATTAGTAGCAGAAACAGGACATTGCTAAGAACATGTACTGTATAACCAGGGATATACATTAGCAGAGATGTTACTAATAGTATATGTTATCAGAGCTACACATTGCTAGGAGTCTCATCAGTAATATATATGGGACACATTGCCATAGACCTTAGAAGGGACTCAAATTGTCAGGGACCATAAGTATTATCTTGACTATACATTCTAAATCTATTAACCAATGACAATTCCAGCTGATATTACCCCTAGACCTTCTTTCCATCCTACTGCCATTTAAACAAACCAACAATGAGCATCTTGCCTAGCAGTTTCCCTAACAGTACAGTTTCCCAGAAGTCTGTTCACTCTGGTAGAAAGCGCCTGCCGCAACATTAGCAAAGCATTTTTATGGTTGCCTTTTTATTCAATGAGTGGTGAGGAGGTAGGAAAGCATGCAATGAA